GGCCAGCCCCCCGTCGGCTGCCGCTAATCCCCACGGCCTGGCCAGCGCACGCTTTCCTCAGCTGATGGTTAATTTTCTTTCATCCTCTTAAACGCGTCCGTTCCCCTCGGGACTGAGCCCAGGGGGGCTTACGGCCGGGGGGGTCGCGGCAGTAAATGAACCAGTGCGTTCGTCCCTTCCCAAACGCAGCCACAGCTCCCTCCTGCAGCCGGGGGAGAGAGGCTTTATTTAAGAGCTGGCTTTATAAAAATTGAATGAACCGATGTTTTCATAAACGGCTAATCGATTTTTAGAGCTCTGCAGGTTAATAGGTTGCTCGTGACCCCCTCGTGCTGTGCTGGGCGCTGCGCCGGGACGGCTCCGCGTTTGGTGCTGGCCGGTCATGCCCGCGCCCTGCTGCGATTCGGGACCCCAGGCCCTGGGGACGGCGCAGGGGCCGAGGCCAACACCGCTGCCAGCTCTCCCCAGGGACGGGCGAAACCCTGCCAGCGCCGGGGGCACGGCCCCATGCTGCCAGCACTTCTGGGTTTTCACATTTTCCTTTCTCCCGAGCAGGAGGGCGATGGTTTTCCAGTCCTCCCTCCCTTCCGCTGCGCCATGGCACTTCTCCCTCCCCGTGTTTGTATTTAATCCCCTGGCTGGGCTGAGCGTGCCCCGGCCGCCCAACACACCGCCTGTGTCCGACACGTGGGATCCGTGGCAGCGCTGGTGCTGCCCCGTGGGCTGGGGGTTCCCGTGGTGCTGGGGGTCCCCGCGGTGCTGTGGTGCAGCATCTCTGCCACGGTGCCAGTGCCGGGAGGCTGCAGCCTCTGCCCCAGCTCCTGCTGCGCAGGCAGGGCTGTCGCCCCATTAGTGGGGTTAACGGGGCGTGGGGGGTTTAGACTTGGGGTGAACCGTGGGGGACGGCAGGGGTGCCACGGGCAGTGGAGCCGCAGGCTCGAGTGTAGTCCCGTGGGCAGCGGGGGGCTCAGCACCCTGCAGGATCATGCCCCGGCGGCAGGCGCCGGGGAAGCCCTTTCTCTGCGTGCAGCTTTCGGAGCTGCTCGAGGAAACAGGGGAGGCTGGATTGGCGCCGGCCCAACATCCCTCGGCTGATTGGGAGCAGCCTGCGCGGCTCAGCCCGAAAAGACACGGCGGTTTTTTTTTTCGCGCCTGCACACGGCTGTGGCGGGGGGGGGCCCGCTCCGCTCGCTCTGTGCTGTGGTCCCTCTGGGCTCCCCCCGCACACGCACCCCTCTCTGGGGCGGGAGAGGGGCTTTGAGGAGTCTGGGCCGGCGGTGGTGGCTCCTGCCCCTTCCCTGGGGGTTTGCTGGGGGCCGGGCGAGCCTTGCGAGGTTTCCAGGGGAACTGGGGGTTTATGGCTTTCCTGCAGCGCCCTGCCCCTCTTATCGCGCGGCCCCATTGATCCCTTTGATCGGCGCCAGCGGGCGAGTTCAGCCCCACGGCATCCGGACCCT